TTAGATGTTCATTGACCTTTTCTTTTCTTTTTTTTTTAACTGAACTTTTCGATGTCCTTGATGTCCTTTACCTTCTTTCATACATTCTCTTTGTACTGCATTCTGTATAATTTCATCTTGATTTCTGAGTCACTTTCTGTTTTGTTTTTCACATCTAGATGTTTTGTTTTCAAATCTGACTGATCGTTTTTCTTCCCATATGCTCTTATCCCCCACCTCCCATCATTTTTGTCACTTGTTCCTTATCAACTTCTTAATATTCTCTTCTATTCCTTACACATATTGCATTACATCAAATATTGAAAGACTACTTTTGCACTAGTAACAATGCTAATTTAATGCTGTAATGTCACAATTTTAGAGATGATAAAAAAATATTTTTGTAATGTTAACATACTCATCCAGTAATTCCAGTACCTGCAGTTTTTGCGGATCAGATTCTAATCTTTCTTCAAACTTATTCATATTATTATTCCTCATTTTCCTGACTTTGAATGTGGGTCCAAAATTCTTGGAACACCACCTGTGAAAATTCTTTGAGATTGAGTTTGAAGTGCTTTCCTTAAGAAAGCACTAACTTTTGTTTCTGGTAAGTACCCAGAATCACTTCAAACGTCAGACCACTCTAAATTCTTAGCTTAATTTTTCATTTGTTTCTGTTTTTAGTTAGTTTGCTTGTTTGTGGTAGCTGGCTGGTATGGGGATTCGAACCCTTGACCTTGGTGTTATAATGCTGCACTCTAACCAACTGAGCTAACCAGCCAGCCCCTTAGCTTATTTTTTCTAACCACATGGGTAGTATAAGTTTGTTTCCAAACTGGTTTGTCAGCTTGTGAATACAAATTCTCAGTTTTCTTCTCTCCATCTAGTTCTTTTGGGGCAGGGGGAGAGGGAGGAGGAAGGGAAGACTGGACAGTATGGAGATCCAAACCCTGGACCTTGGTGTTATAATACCACATTCTAATCGAGTTAACCAGCCAGTCCTTCCCGCCAGTTTTCTTAATCTCCTGAGGCAGGATATTCTGGCTCATTCTTTTACTGAGTGTTATCATCTTTTGAGCTTCCAGGTTTTGAAAGTGTCTCACTCTGAGTTCACATTTATGTTGACCATGGGGTTTGTCTTACTTCTAGAGCTTAGCCCATTCCAAAGTTGTTAGGAACAAGGATTGGCAGAGCCCTTGAAGCAATTGTCCTATTATCTTACTCCTCTGAATTCATGCTTTTTTTCAATCTCATATTAAACTTTTCTACTAAACTTTTTATTTTTAAAATTTCCAAGTATACAAAGAAGTTGAAACAACAGTACAAATTAACATCATCTACCTCCCGCTACAATTCACCAGCTGTTATTCTGCTGCATTTGCATGAGCTCACAGTCATGTGCCACATACTGATGTTTTGATCAACACTAGACTGCATATATGATGATGGTTCCATACGACTATAATGGAGCTGAAAAATTCCTATCACCTAGTGATGTCATAGCCATTGTAATGTCATAGCACAATTATCTTTTAATAAATTTAGAGCAGCCTGAGCATAAAGTCTACAGTAGAGGACAGTAATGTTCTAAGGCCTTCACATTTATTCACCACCCACTCACTGACTCACCCAGTGCAACTTCCAGACATTCAAGCTCCATTCACAGTGTACTGTACAGGTGTACCTTTTTTTTTTTTTTTTTAAATCTTTTACACTGTATTTTTACTGTACATTTTCTATGTTTAGATATGCTTGGATACAAAAATACTTACCATTATGTTACAGTTGCCTACAGCATTCAGTACACTAACATGCTGTACAGGTTTGTAGTCTAGGAGCAACAGCTATATGCTATATAGCTTAGATGTGTAGTAGGCTATATCACATAGGTTTGTGTAAGTATACTCTATGATGTTCCCACGTGATGAAACCGCCTAACAATACGCTTCTCAGAATGCATCCCTGTCATTAGGTAACATGTCCGTTGATGTTTCACACACATGCACACACCACGTATTTTTGCCTAACCATTCCGCAGTAGCAAACACAATGACACTTCATTGCTAGTTATTTCAGCCTGTATCTCGTAAGAAAAAGGTCATTCTAAGAAAATCAAACATTATTTCACATCATGTAAGATTCATACACAAACTTTCTGAGATGTCCCTAAAATGTCTTTAATGGATCAAATCCAAATTGTTGCACTGCATTTGATTACTATATCTAGAACAGTCTCCCCACCTGTTCTGCACATTTACTTTAAGAATCGAGACCAGCGGTCTTATAAATGTCCTACATTCCACTTTTAATTATTCTACATTAGATTTAGGTCAGATGTTTTTGGCAAAAACATCACTACACAGGTGGTGGGGTGGGCTTTGAGTATCTTTCTTCCTTGCTAACTCCACAATGGATTTAAAGATTTTTTTTTTAATGAGTATTATCCAGCATTTCAGGTATTCTGTAACATCATAAGGGTTCTTCAGAGCACACAGTCTATCATCTGTCAGAAATAGAAGTTGCTATGTATTATTGCCTTTCCAAACCACCAATAGTACATCTTTACAAATGAAAGAATATTGATAAATGAGGGTACTTCAAAAAGCTCATGGAAAAACAACTAAAAGATAATTTGTATCTTTCCATGAATTTCTGAAGACCCCTTGTATTTACCACCACCTCAGGCCAGGTAATATGAAAAGGGGAAGCTTGAGACAAAACCTTCCACTAGGTGTTCTACCCTACCAATTTATTTTTACACTTATTATTCCCTAAAAATGCAGGGCCTAATATGAGTGTTTGTTGGAGTCCAGAAGTCTAAGGATCAATTAAATTAATGTAGGATTACATTAATATTTAAGAGCAGAGAGTAGGGCCGGCCCGGTGGCACACTGGATAGTGCGCCGCTTGGGAAGCGCGGTGGCGCTCCCGCCCAAGGGTTCGGATCCCACATACAGACCGGTTCCCGCTCACTGGCTGAGCGAGGCGCGGGAGCAACACCGAGGGTTGCAATCCCGTTGCCGGTCCCCGGTCCGGTACGGGGGCAACACTGAGGGTTGCGATCCGTTGCTGGACACGGAAAAAGACAAAAAAAAAAAGAGCAGAGAGTAGATTTAAAAGACTTGGGAGTCCAGTGTGGAAGGCTTTTCACCTCATCAGTTAAAAGGAAGAAATCGCATTTCTAACCTGCCCCTTTTCATGGAGACAGAAGGAAGAGAAGATATGAAAAAAGAAACTATGTTTGTTGAGAACTTTCTATGTCAATCCTGTGCTATAAATCATCTCAATTCATCTCCATATTAATTCCATGAGCTGGATATGACTACTCTCATTTCACAAATAAGTGAAACTCTGGGAGGTCACACAGGTAACTAGGGTTCAAACCAAAGTCTGTACAATGGCCAAAACCCATGAATTTTCCGCTATACAAAATTCATCTAGAAGGTAACAATTAGAGATTTCCATTCTGATGTTTTACTTAGTTATTCATCTTCTTAAGGTTTATACAACCTAAAAAATGACCAAAGTCAAATTTCTTGAAAGAACAGTCTATAATTGTTCTTTCCATGCCTTATTCATCCAACCCACTGTACTCTTGTTACTGCTCAAACTAAAACAGCTCTTCTCAAAGTCATCCATGGCTTCTACATCGCTCAAGTCAATGGCTACTTTACTTTGTCTCCTGCCAGCACCTGATATCACTAATACCTTCACTCCTTCTTGAAACCCCCTTCTTTGTCTTCCATTACCACCCTCCTGGCCTTCCTTCCACCTATATGACTAATTTATAGATCTCCTTTGTGGAGTTTTCTTCTCCTCGTCCTTAGATACTGTTTCCCCTGCTGTTGTTAAGTATTCCACTCTTCTCATTCTATAAATTTCCTGGCAATACCATACTTTTACATTGTTTTAGTTACCCCCAATTATGCTACTGGTTCAACTTAAACATTTGCTAAATCCCTACCATGTGCTAGGTATATTCAGTAATAAATAAAAACAGACATGATTCCTGATGGACCTTACAGGCTCTATATCTCCAGCCCAGGGATCTCTCATGAGCACCAAAACCATGAAGATTTGCACCTTTATTTTCCATCAAACTCAACATGTCCCAAACTGAACCCACTTCCCCCCACCCCCAACCTATTCCTTTCTTCTCCTCTTTCCTATTTTAATATGTGCTAGTAACCCCATGGCTTCAATTCCAGGTCTACAAGAGTATGTCAAAAAGTTCATGGAAAGATTCATACTATCTTTTGATTCTATTTTCCACAAACATTTTGAAGTATCCTTATATTTTACTTTCTCAGTCTCTCCAAAATTTCACTGCTATTCCCCACTCCCCTGTCAGAGAGCTAGTTTAGGAATCACCTAGATTACTTAGAGCCTACAATTGTGTCTCTACCTCCAATCTTCTCCATAACCCGTTTGTCAGAGTTAAAAAATGGTCTTTCAAGAGGAAATCTGATCATTTCAGCCCTCCACTCTCCACCCTACTTAAAATTCTTCAAAGACTCTTTGTTGGCCTCAGGGTAAGTCCCAAACCCTTTTACATAACCTGCAAGGCTCTCCACTTGAAGAGGACCCTTACTTGATTCTTCAGTTTAGTATTTTACCACTCCATCTTACACTGTTTCAGTTGAATTGAAATTTTCAGTTCCTGGCATACATACATATTCTCTTTCACTTACAGGCTTCTGCATTTGTATTCTCTTTTCATTCTCTCTTTGCCTTTGCCTGGTCCAGTGTCCTGTCTTTTATGAGTGAAAGAGATCACTTCCCTGACGATAAAGTTTGGGTTAGATCTTTTCCAACATGTGTTTTAACTATATTCTGTGTTAATCTTTATTATGACACTCTTTATTCTAACACAGAAGCTAAACACTGTGAAGGCAGGGACTCTACGTCATTTTGTCCACTAAAGTATCTCCAGTGCCTGACACATAGCATACATTTTTTAAATGAATTATAATTAGTAAGTCTCAACTCATAGGGTAGGAAAAAACAATTCATTTGAAAACTTTTTCAATTTTCTAATTTAATAGAAATAACCAAAACAATGTGGTTTTCAAACAAGGCTTTAAACTAATCTAATACAACTTCTACAACACATTCCAGAGCATTATAACAAGAATTATTTACAGGCAGCTAATGTATTAAATAACCATGAAAAGAAAAAAACTTGCTTTTTTTACACACCAGCAAAAAACACAGGAACAAAACAATTAGAAACTGCAACCTTGTTTTAAAAAAATTAAATATGATTATTTAGAGAATACAATACCACAGAAACAGCACTTTTTCCTTAAGAATCATATTGAAGGGTAGTTAACTATGTGCAAAAATAATAGTAGTAGGAGTAGTAATAATAACAATAATGAGGGGAAGAGACCAGTTGAAATACTGGAAGGAAGTAAGGCTGTGAATTTAACCCTTTCGTGTGTAGGTAGGTCTACATAGAAAATTAACAGGCTTTCAAATGCACAAATCTTCTTTTTTAATAGGCTTATGTACATATTTCACTGTGTTTTAAAACAGTAAATGCCTACATTTTTCAGACCAGGAGCAGACATGCATTTCATTCTTAAGATTGAAATTTAGGCCACACTTGAAAGGGAATATTGCAGTGGCACTTACGAAATCTTTTTAGTACCTTCCCACATACAAATTTGGTAAATGTAAAAAAAAAAAAAAAAAAAAAAAAAAAAAGCATTTGCTATTTTAAAGATCACTTGCTAGAAAAGGGCTAAACTTAATTTTGTACATTCTGTAGTTTGATATGACAAATATATCCAAATTAACTCACTTATGAAGGTAATTTTTTTTCTCAGATACAATAAAAAATATATAAAGGACCACATAGGCAAACACAAGGAACTAAGATGGAAGAAATGCTATACATGCATTTTGACCAAGTAAAAGAAACCATTATATCCAAGAGTACATGTTGAAATCTGAAATGTCTATGTAAACTGTGGCATATAAATTTTTTTCCTTAAAAAAGTACCTTCAATTTTTTTACTCAAACACCTACTTTTAAAAAAATATGCAACTTTCCCCAATTTTTAAAATAAAATGCCACAATATATTGTCATTACCTCCAGCATACATTTAAATTTATTAATTTTTAAAAGATAGACTGGGTGATATGCATACAAACTTTCCTATAAAATCACCATCCAGGAGAGGGTTCTGACATGCTATTAGGCAACAGACTTAAAGCAGTGTTATTGCTTTATCAAGGAGGAGATAACTGTGAGGAAAAAAAAGAAGCATCCAGTTCTGGTACATTATGAAACTGTAATACATCTTGAAAATCTTGGATCATCTTCAGCAGTTCATTAATATAGATGGTATAAATTAAGAATTTATGGTATGAATTAAGAATCTGTTTTAATTGAGGGAGCTGGGGTGGGTGGATCTTTATAAAAATACTAACTGATTCAATGCTGAGTATGCAAATGAGAAGTGCTCACTTCAAAAAGAAATGAGATTTTTATACTTCATGTGAATGGAGGTGAGTATAGGACATAAAGGCCAAAGGAGAAGGGGCCACAGCATCTACTCCCATTTTGAATAGTAAAAGACTATTTAATGACATGGTAGGTCACAATCCAAGGGCATAATTGGAAGACCTGAATCTATTGGCTTATTAACACTAATCACTAATAATCACATGGCAGGAGGATACCTGCTGAGGTAATTGATAAATCTACATTTGCACACTATAAACCTTTTACTTCTATTTAAATGCATTATTTCTTTGGATTAACCAAAAATCTCAAAACCTGTTATAACAAAAAAGTGAGACTTAACTGACTTTTTAAATTATCTAAAATTCTCTTATGTAAGAGATAGAAATCAGAAAGTACCAACTTGTTGATTCCAAAGAGAATAATTTTAACAATGGATCCAATGCCTTATCATTTTTGTGTGGTAATGGTTTCATGTTTCTATATAGAGCATGACCTACAATCTAAACATACTTCGGAACTTTCACATGCTTCACCTTACACAAAGCAATTCATTCACTCAGTGAATCAGCTGAGCCAAGTGCTGAAAAACACAAAATTAGGTCAGCAGAACAGATCGAGGAACACTTTATTCTTAGTTTTCTGATGGGAGAAGTAAGCTGAAGTGTGGCGAAAACTGCAAGTTTTTAAGGAAACATTACTGTGTGGACTCTTCTCCAAATCTAGAATACAAATGTGAGAGAGTACCAAAACAAACTGCCTTCAAGGATTGATAGATATCCATTGTTTGTCTTTTTAAGACATAAACAGAAAAACACATAAGATATTGGAACACCAACTTAAGTTTTTAGACTTCTTAACCAAAGTTACATTAAATCCAAACAAATCAGCTTAGAAAGACAATGATCAGTATGCAAGAAAAAAGATTTAATGAAATCTAAAGTGAACACCTTCATTTAATGGTGGTTTGTTGATAGTTATTAATTTAATAGCAATTCCTCAGCAGCATAAATTATCTTCTGTTAACAGAAATGGAGTCTATTAAATGTTGCCAATAAAGTGGCTTTTAAATTGATTAATTTAACCAATCTTAAAAGAAACAAACAAAAACCAGAACTCCACTCAACATGGAAATTTTTTAAGGAAACATATTACCTTTTAAGGCCTCAAATATTGAGAAATACTTACTTAAAATTTGCTTCTCCCCCTCGTTAGCAGAACTTACCTATGACTTATTACCTAAGAGTTTCAAAAAGGATTCATATAAAGAGTAAATACAAAATAGAACTCAAAGGTTTGACAAAACAAAGTTATATTGCAATGCATCGTTTTTCAAAAATATGCCCTTAGATATATGTTTACTTATAAATTGAAATAATGGATATTGTGGAAAAGAAGGAAATAGGCTTAGATAAAAGCATTTTTAAATGATTTCCTCCCTCTTATAAAGAATTCTTAGGAATTTGAAATTTGAGTAAAATGATTAAACAGTTGTTATATTTTTTTAAAGCTTAACTTTTAACAAAACTGAAAGAAAAACTAAAAGCCAAGTATTAAAGTTATAAACAACAATAATAAAATCAACACTGCTTAACTACACCATCAGAAGGCTTGAATCATATTCTTGTTACCCCACCCATTGTTAACAAAAGAGAAACAACCCAAAGGAATTTGTATAATAATTTCTTTAGAGCACTTTATTTGATTCAATATGCACTAAAAAATATTTACCTCTTAGACAATTATGTCAAATAATTTTCTGAGTCTACTGTCTGAACTGCTTAAGCTGAATTTTTAAAAAGGCAAATGATTTGCCACAAATCTGCTGACGTCTGAAAAATATCTAATGGCAAATTCTTCTATTTTGGTCACTTTATATTCTTATGTGCCCATACAAAAGTAGGACTAAAATTTTTAATCCAAGAAAAGCCTGTATACAGTCTAGAACACATATCTTGAATCTGAGCATCACAAATGAAGAAAAATGAACCAGAGCCAAGTTGGTTTATCTGTCTCAGGTGCTGTAATCAGGGTAGTAAAGGTGGGTTTACTCCACTAACCATTCAAGTGGGGATTGGCTCATTTTCAGGATTTACTTACAGGTCTCTTCTAAGTCCTTTAAGCCCCAGTCCATGCAAATGTCCCACTTGGTGGACGGATGAGTAATCTAACCCCACCGGGTTTATTTCAATATTTTGATATTTCAATAATAAGCTGCTTCTGAAGATTTTTTGAGAAGTCTGCTCTATTAAAATAAGATAGAACCTCAAAATATGAATGTGAACATTAGAAATAGACAGCATATATTACAAATCCATTCTTGATAGGAACATTAGTAAGAATACACATTAGCTTAAAAAACAGGCTCAGCAAATGTTGCTGATCTGCCAGAAGTTTTAGTTCACTATTTACAAATAAGACAGAGTGAAATACAGAAAATTTTACACATTTGGTAGTTGACAGATTATTGTTTGCCAATAGTGGTCTATCAGAAAACTGATATGAAGGAAGACTGGATAAGAGCCAGTTGTCACCTTCTCAATCAAATTTAAGTGTACAGAAAACTAGATTAATTTTGAAACAAACATTCTGCCTTTCATGGGAGTAACTGTATAATCAGATGATTTAATCGGTATGTGCAATTGTACGGAAGTGTATTCTTGAAATGACTACTATAACTCTATATGATCCACTACTGAAAAGTTGCCATATATATTTCAGCAGACCACTGAAGTTGACTAAATGATAATGAATGATCATGTTTCCTAGACCCAAGTATAAGTAGAAAATATAACTGCTGTTAAGTTCTTTAAACCAATTTAAAAACTAAGGCCCAACAGCATCAAAATAAGAAAAAATACAATGGCATGATTCAATGCGCATTTTCATTGACATCAAAGTGGAATCTGAGCTACCTGCATTTTTGAGTGGAAAACAACCAGTATGTATGTGTGCAGAGGGGGAGGCCTAATAATTCTGTTAATAACTGTAAGCTCTAGCACAAAGAAACAATTCATAGCAACACGAGCCTCAAGTATTTACTCGTACACTCAGAATCCTGCACCCATCAATACCACATGATCAATCAACACCTGCCATTTCTAACAATCGGAGAACCACCCTTAGTAACAAAAATCCTCAAATAATTTCACTTTTGCCTTTTGTTTTGCAAACAGAATTCTCTCCCCCTTTCTTGACAAGAATGTGTTTTCTGTTCATTATTTCAATCTAATACTGTGTAAAAGCTATCAGCTTCTTTAAGGAGGTGCCCACTGTAGGCAGGATATTCCAGCAACACTTAAATAAAAGTTTTCTGTTTTTTTTTATTTTCATCACTTCTTTTTTAAAACAATTAATTTAAGTCCACGTCATTTTACTTTATATGTACTGGTCTCTCATCTGATTTTAGGCGTTTTCTGCGAGGCTGTATAAAGTCTTCATCAGAGTCCTCAGTTACCTCACCATCATCCTCTTCCTGCTCAAACTCTGGCAAAGGTGCGAAGGTCCTGTCTGAGTAGATCTCTGTGAGTTTATCTTCAAAGTACAATGCAACTGCTTTCCCTGCCTGAGCTACTTCTGAGTCAGCCTGCAAGCAAAAGATAGGAATATTCACCTATTGGTAATGCATATTCCTTCACCAAGTTTGCATGGTCTGAAAAGCTTACCTTCAAATTAATCTCTTGTGTGTCTGCATAAACTTGAACAACTTTCATCATCTAAAAAGGATACCAGAGTCAAAAAAAAAAAGGGAAATTATAATCCTTTCTAAAGTTATGAGACTGTATAGGATTGGCAACCAAAGTCAGCCATACTAGGGAGAACAAATTGCTATAACCAGATTAAGTGCTTTCTAAAATTCTACAGAACATAGAACCACCTTCTTTACAAAGGACTGTTACTAAAGCTACTCTGAAACCTCAGAAATTGTCTCATTCTGAATTAGCAAGGTCAATCTGAATAGGAATTGGTCTGAATACATCAATCTAATCAAGAGAAAAATATCTGTGAAACAAATGATATCAGAAACGTTGCTTTAAAAAACCGTCAAATTCTCAACAAACCACTTAATCAGAATTATATATGTACGGCAAAATGCTAATCATAGATTATTTAACTATTACTAAAGTAGGTAATGGGTCTTCTTTTCAACTATAGTTTATGAAAGCATATTTATTTGAAAGTAGTCTAACTGCATTAAAAAACAAGACAAAAATTTGGTACTGTACTTTCTAAACTTAATTTCAAATTAGTGAGATTTTATTAATTTACTCTATGATACATTGCTACAAAGGTGACTAGACTTTTTACCTTATGAGGATTTTTTTTTTTAATGTCACCTGAATGCTTACAGAGGTAGCCATCGATTCAATTTGGATTCAATGTGGTTTATTTTAGTAATAGTCATATGGCACCCAAATTTCAACAATAAAGAAGAGATTTTAGTATTAATCTTTTTAAGGATTTTGTAAATTCTCATCCAATTCCATTTTCTTCTTCTCTATTGAAAAACTTCTATAACAATAATAGAGTTGACTTTATCCCAAATATAACAAAAATAATTTCCTTGAAAGAGGTATAGATCACATTTCTTCTCAAGGTATGGACAGCTCATCCTTATCCTCAAAAATATGCATAACCAAAGTTAATGAAAGTCAGTCACATTGCTAAAATCAGAACACTAAACATTATATACTCTGAGCTATTATTCAAGATGAGCCACCAGAGATTAGTTCATGATTTTAAGGTTCTACGTTTATGTAGTCAATAATAAAATCCAAGGACACAGGTACAGACCCATTTCCTAAATGTATCCAAAATTTGGGCGGTTTATGATTATGTATCACAAAATATATTTAACAACAAACTACTTTCCATACTTATCCCAACCCTTAACTCATTCAGGAAGGGGTATTCAATAATATTTTTGATTTACTATACAGTTAAGTTATATACTCCAAATTATTCACAGTATACTTTCTTTTTTGTACTTGTGAATACCATGAAATTTTACTTTTGACAGGACTGAACCAGAAAAAAATTCCTTAAGTTAGAAAACTCTTTAAACAGGAAAAACAAAAATCCAAAAAACAAAACAAGCAAACAAACAAAAACTAACAAACCAAGACTCTATAGGTTGGAAGCTAACATACTTCATTAAACCTTTCACAGTTCTTGAAGATTAAACGGACATCAGCCACAAAGTCATCCGGGATTTGATAGTGTTGGGAATGTTTTTTCTGAAGTTTCTTTTTCACAGTGGATAAATCCATTGGTTTCTTTATAATTTTATAGTAGTTTGGTATCTAAAATAAACAAATTAATAAGGGTAGATAAGAATTTCCAAAAATGCCAAACTGCTTTTGAAAATGCATAGCCTATTAATTTTAGGGAAAAACATGTTGACTGAGCCAGCTACTTGTCAATCTTAGGTATGGTGAGTGTACTTTAAATCTTCTACACCAATCCTATCATAAAACTAAATCTCATGCAGAATATGTACCAGTCTCCATAGTTAGTGGAAGTCCCCAAAATCCTATCTTTAATAAGTAGATTTGGAAAGAAAGCACTCAGCATGGATAGCCAAACAACAGCCTTAAGGTCACATTTGGCTCATCAGAAAACTTTAATTTTCATTAAAAAGGAAAAAAAAAATTACAAAATGTATTATGTTATGATTATATCATTTATATCACAGAAGAGTCTTGACTTAGCAGCAGGGGAAGAAAGACTGTTACAACATAAGAATAATTATTAACCATTTAGTGATCATGCTACAGAGTTCTGGCCCCAAACTTGACCAAAAATTTCTACCCTTGGGATATAAGTGAACATGAAGAAGCTATTTTAAAGTTCATGAAAAGAAAATACTTGAAAGTCATTTTCTACTTTGAATCCCTGAACTTGAAGACACACTTTCTAGAATGAGATGATTATAACTTGTACAAAATATCTTCCTTCTGTCTAGACCTTTTATGCTTTAAAATTCATTTCTTAGCTTACCCAGTAAATGAGTCAACTACTTATTTAATATTCTGTAACAGGCCTGGTATGCAATAATATCTTATTCAACAACTGATGGCTAGCAAATACAATGTATGTAGCATTCTTAACCCACTTATTAAGCATTGAGCACCTCTAGTCTTCCTTGTAGCATAGAATTTTAGAGCCTTTATTCTTTAGAAAAGAATACCATAAGATAAACAAAAAGCACTGACTTGCAGAATTTCCCCAGTGTCTTTCTCAATATTGACTTTTCACATAAGAGGGCTTATGAGGGCAGAGCCAGTGTGAAAGATTCAAGTGTTCGCTTTTATTCAAATATTTACATAGAGACTGTTTTCTCCCCAAGGTACAGAGCCTAAAATCATAGAATTGGAATCTTAGAAATAATGTAGTCTAACATTCCCATTGGGAAGTTAAGAAAGTAAAGGCAGAAAGGTATGTAATTTCCCCAGTTATAAAGATGCTTAACAGCAAAACTGAGACTCCTAGCTCAATATTCTCTCCATTATGACTGTTTCCCTATGTCCATCTTAAAAGTAAAAGAGGATTAAAAAAATTAAATTCATTGAGTTCTCATGAGAGCAACAAACTGTAAAAGCAAATTATAACTTTAACAAATGAATCTCACATCCATTTAGCCCTAATAAAAATTTTGGTTAAATAATAACTGCTTACTATGTTATTAGGTACTATGTTTAAAACTTCATATAGGTTATTTTATATAATCCTCGGAATAACCCAATGAGGTAAGAAATAGTATCAGAAAAGAAAACTTGAGTCTTGGAGAGGTTGAGGAGGGTATTCAGGAAGCTTGAGTTTTAATATAAGCAGTCTAAGGCCAGAGCCTATACTCTTAAGTATTACACAAAACTTCTTCACCAGAGAAGTACTAAGGTAGGCAACTCACCGAAACAGGAACAGGCTCCTGGAATTCAATACTTAATTCATGACAATAGAGGTAAAGCAGAAGACGTTCACATTTCTGGTGCAAAAAAGGAAAGGAAAACACATGAAATATTTTTTCCCCTAACAAGATGTTCTTGAGAATGAGAACTATACCACCAAACACGTATTATTAAAACAAACTGAACATAGATCTCCAACTAAATATGTCAAAGAAAACCACCATGCTTCCTATTTAGTTTTGAAACTAATCTTCTATTCTTTTTTGTGTGTGTGTGACCGGTAAGGGGGATCACAACCCTTGGTGTGGTGTCGCCCACACCGCGCTCAGCCAGTGAGTGCACCAGCCATCCCCATATAGGATCCGAACCTGCGGCCTCGGCGCTCCCAGTGCCGCACTCTCCCGAGTGAGCCACGGGTTCAGCCCCTAATCTTCTATTCTACTTTCAATAAGAATGCCTTTATTCTAATATGACAATTAAGGTAATTTATCTATTATTAACTCTTGATCATTTATACAAACAGAAAAGTCATAAAATCAACATACAGTACTTTGTGCAAAAATTTATAGATTACCTGGTAATCAATAAGTAAATAAATTATCACTTGCTCCTCATTGTAATTCCTTGAGGCAGGCAAGACAAATGTTATTATCCCTTTCTTCAAATGACTCCACTCAGGTTCAAAATAAATAAAAACTGTCTATGTCTTCTCAATCTAATTTCAGAATTTTTTTTACATAAGTAAACTGAAATGCATTTTACAATTATAGTTCTCTATTTATTTAAAACTTCTTTTAATGTAAGTTTGTACACCCTAAACACATACCTTCACTTCATAAATAGTGGAAGAGGGATTTTCCAAGTACAGTTGTCCCTTGGTATCAGTGGGGGACTGAATACCAAAATCAGCAGATGCTAAAGTCCCTTATATAAAATGGAGTAGTACTTGCATATAACCTCCACACATCCTCCATATACTTTAAATCATCTCTAGATTAATTATAATACTTAATATAGCATAACTGCTATATAAATAGTTGTTATATTGTTATTGTTTAGGGAATAATGACAAGGAAAGAAATCTGCCCGTGTTCATTACAGACGCAACAATCCATTTTCTCCCCTGAATATTTCAACCTGTGGTTGGTTCAATCTTCAGATGTGAAACCCATGGATATGGAGGGCTGACCGTATATATAGGAGATTAGAGTCAAACTTAACTCCAATGACCACAGACCTATGTGACAGATATTTTGTCTTTGGAAATAAGACCACAGATCATATTAGTAGAAATCTGAGTAAAGTGGGGAGAGGATTTTGGATTTCATTTTTAATATAATGGGAAGCTATTAGAGGATTTTATTTATTTATTTATTTATTGTTTTTTTTTTTTTTTTCTTTACAAAGATGACTGGTAAGGGGATCTTAACCCTTGATGTTGTCAGCACCATGCTCACCCAGTGAGCTAACCGGCCATCCCTATATAGGGATCCAAACCGGTGGCCTTGGTGTTATCAGCACCGCTCTCTCCCAAGTAAGCCACGGGCCGGCCCTGGCTATTAGAGGATTTTAAACAAGGAAGTGATTGAGTTGTTTACTTTTTTAAAAAGAACACTCTTTGGTAAAGAAACATAAGGGGGCAAAAGTAGAAGCAGGGAGACCAATTAAGAGATATTACAAGTCCAGATAAGAAATTATGACGACTGTCTAAAAGTAAGAAAACAGTATTATAATCACTTTTGATGCTTTCATTTCTAATAGGTTTGGCCTGAGCAACAGAGGTGAGTGGTGGTGCCATTTAATGATGAGGAATATTGAGAAAGGAGTGCAGTTTTTTATGTTATTTGCTTGGGTTTTGCTTTTGTTTTTTGAGAGGGAGGATTAGAAATAAAGATTTCAGTTGGGACATGTTAAGTTTGAGGAAGTTAGGTACAAGAGTTCAGAGTTGAGGGCTAAGATAATGATTTCATAAGTCATCAATATACCATCAGATGATGAGATTAAAAAATAAAAATTAGGTTATGCATATTTTACACAGAAAAAAGAACGTACAGGCAGACAACTACAGAATCCCTAATATCAACTTATTTAACACTCACCCTTTGGTCCACGGGGCTTAACCCCTGTGCAGTTTTGCCCTTCTTACTATGTTGCAAATTATCACAATCATATTCAACTTCTGGCTTTCCAATATCTCTGCAAAATGTGCATATCCAGTCCCCACTAAACAAGGAAACAGGCAATTAGTTCACATAATTATAACAAGGCCTGCTCTACAGAAGCTAGTTCCCTAGACTCACATCTCTAGCTTGTTTTCTTTAGTTTCCAATTTTCGTAGAGAGTTTCTGTAGTTATCAAATCTCATAAGGTGAAGTTGTATGATAACCCCCCCCAAATTTTTCCTAGTCATCTATCAGTTGATCACTTTCTGAAAAGCATTATAAAAATGGCATCTCTGCATTAAAAAGGAGTCTCCTCATAACACAAAGTTGATGATTAGTACTTACAGCATAAAGTCTAAGACCAATTCTCTTGAGGCCCAGTATTACCATCACATGAACCCAAAATTCATGAGTAAGAAAAAGAGAACAGAGTTCCTGAGGTATCCTGTACTGTTCTGGCATATATTAACATACCAAAAATAAATCAATTCTTTTGCATGGCCAGTCAAAAGCTAGAATACACATATACATACCTTCAAGTCCAAGCACATGTACAAAATACCCCTTATCTTTTAACTCTGCTAAGTCTATACTTAGTTTTTATCAGGATTTCTATCAAACTAGAAATTTCAAGATGATTTATTCATATTCTCTCTATATATAAATTGATAGAGATATATACAAATAGATAAATAAATAATTCCCAAATCTAGGGACTGTGTATTAACTAATCTATTTATGTCCATAGTTTACAATTCCTTCCAAAGCAACTGGCTTTGAATGAAAGCATTCAGTGGCAAAATCCTGACATTCCAGCAGATGTTACTACTCAAAGGAAAGAAAAATATGAAAAGTCTTAATTTAAAGAACAAAGCCAATGCTTCTTTAATGTACCACTTAGATCTCAGACATTTTATCATTCTGTTGTTAGTTCCTCTGAAAGATAATATTAAAGGAATAATAGGCTCCCTGTTTTATAGAAATACTACGCTTTGGTTAAGAAGGCCATTTGCCCTGAACAACTTTCTGCTATTTTTTTTAGCTTATGAAAATAAACAAGAGCAAAAATCAATTTCACTGTACCTTGGAAAGCTAAGAAGTGTTGGAACATGACAAGTTAGATGAAAAACCTTTGGACATTTTTCACAGCATAAGAGATCGCCTCCATTTTGGCAGACAGCACACCAGTCTTCATTTGGGTCATCATCTTTGCTACTGCCATCTCCTCCAATCCTTGCTGACCTGTGCATGAGGCTTCGAATTGGGGACTTTCCATTAACAAGGCTACTGAGCCCTGACTGTTTGCAGCTTTCATTCATATCTGTAGGTTCAGTTTTCACATGGTTTTCCAGGCTTGCTAATGCATCCAACTCACTCTCTAGATGCAGGTTGGTTGAGAGAGGTGGTGTCAAGCTACTCTCAGGACTGCTCAACTAAAACAAAATGATGACAAATTCTTGAAAAATCATTTAATCCTTATTGTATGCAGAGTGTGCATATTTAAAAATTATGTCTATGAATATAGATATACTGACATAACACAATTATTTTCTAAATCACATTACTGACATAAAGGAATAAAAAAAAGCCCCAAGTTATTTAGGCATGCTAATATATGATGTTAGAGGGTCTCCCCCTGTAATATTGGTTCACTCGGATAATAAGGAAATTAATTAAACTGTTAAGCACACTGACTGGGAAGTGAGTATAGAGTTGTGCTTTTCCTACAGAGAGCTGATTATGGCACAGCATTTTTCACACGAGGATCTTTTGCACAGCATTTGAGAAGCATTCTGTAATATTCTTCTACCCACCTATCATTGTAGTAATGTAGGAAGATTATGACAATGTAAATAAATCTTTCACCACCCTTTTGCACCCATTTTTATGGAGGTACTTTCCAAAACAAGTTCTGGATGAAGAGATGACACTGCTACAAACCCAACGCTAATAAATCTGTTGCATTCTAAATCTATACATACTGTGATGAATACACTAATACTCTGAGATGAAATTCCTATGTGCCAACCATGAAGAAACTGAGATAGAAGGCTGGACAGGAAGAAGTAACAAAAATTGAAATTTCTAAACAAAGAAGGACTTGAGCCTTCCTTTATTTTAAATTTTTTATTAAACTGCGCCTCCCCACTAATTATCAACTAGAACGTTTTATTGATTGATTGACTGATTTTTTTCTTTTCAGGGTGGCTGGCTGGTATGGGGACCCAAACCCTTGATCTCAGTGTTGTAATACCACATCTTAGATTATAAATTTTATAGAATGTTCCATCCAAAGAACTCTAGAATGGTTAATAATGCATAAAACAAAAGGCAAATTTCCCATCACAATACTCTCTGATCAATAAATTTCTTTCATGTCAGCAATCTTAATCCTGAGCTCACAGGTCCAGGACAATGCCAAGGATATTCTGTGGCCTGAGACTCAATGTGACTACCGAGATGATTATTCAGAACAAAATTCAGAACAAAACAGAACCTGATTTAGCATTATGGCAAAAATACTGACTAAATACAAATTCAAAGATAATCTCAAATGAGTACTTAATACAATTAAGTCTTTTCAGCTGACTCTTAGACAAAAAAGTTGAGTTAGAAAAAGAGATATTTAGCTTATGCCAAGCATGAAAATTCAAAGATAAATAAATGTCCCTACAACCACTATTCAGTTCAGCCTAATATTCTCAGAAGAATCAGTGAAGTGACCTCCTTAAATCCCTGTCAGACCCTGGTGGGAGTTTACCATGCAGGCACTCCTCCTGCCATCCTCTGTCTTTTCTTGTTTCACAGCTCCTGAAAAGCTACAAATTTCATCTTCAGTCCCAGGTTCTTGCTTGACCTTTACTTGATCAGATTTGAAACTAATACTTGTCTTCTCAGCAGTTCTTCCTGATGACCCACAGCTAATAAGAAAACAACAAATAAAGGTCACATATGTTTGATTTTATGATATAAATAAATTATATGAAAAGCAATATTCACTGAAGTGGAAACAATAGACAATAAACCTTATATAAGATAAAGACATCTCATACTACAGTTAAGAGGAGTGTGGTATAAGCCTAGCTTCCAACTCTTTAAGAATGGATATCAAAGTTTCAGAAGACCTTAAAAACACATTTTATGGTTTGAGGCACTTATAATAAATCATCTAATGAGTCAAGTAAACAATTATTTTCTCAGGCCAGTAGTACAGAATGTCAACGATTCTTTATCTGTATAAAAATAGTTTCAATTCTTCTCTATCTCCCTAAACATCTAAAGAAAATGACATCAATAATAGCAGTTGGTGAAGCCTCTTCAAAGGAATTTAAAGGCTTTTGGGAGCTGGGGATTGGGAGAAGAGGGAAACAAGTAGCAAACAACCTGGAACTTCATTATTTGAATCAATGTAACAATAGGCAAGAGGACAGGTACATGACTATTCAGTTCTATCTAGAGCACAAAGCGAAATCACTGTTAAGAGAAGTGAATAACTGGTAAGACTGTATTGCATTGAGAATGAACATCTTTTTCCACTCAGTTTGTACTTTCTTCTAAAAGCACTGATTATTTAAAGTATAATTAAAAAGCCAACCAAGTATTTAATAAGACTGGTCTTCAGAATGCATACACAAATCTGAAAGTACTTCAAAAAGTTCATAGAAAGATTCATACTTTTAATTCCATTTTTCTACAAACTTTTAGAAGTACCCTCAAATATACAAATAAAAAACATTCATATAATATCTAAAATAAAATCTTGCATTGTACTAAGTAATTCGAATTAGAGAAGAGTAAAAAACAGCTAATACTTATTGTATTTTATCTTAAAATACACATGTGCACACACACACTCCTATTTCTTAAGCTCTGTCCACTGAAAAGGCCTAAAAAACAATGAATAATTCAACAGCAATGAACAATTCAGTAGCAATGAATTGCCCTGGTACTCAGAAGATGCTCTCTAAACACTATTTTCCCATTAACACGACTCAGATTTCTTAGAAAAATGGCTGATTCCAGGTCTGAGCAAAGAAATGTGCAAGATGCACCTGGAACATTGTTTCATAGGAAACAAGGAAGCTTTCAAAGACTAATGGGATTATTGCAAAAGAACTAAGGAGCAAGCTTGAAAAAGCTCTGACAGGACAAAGATGGAATAATTTAAGCCATCAATAAAAATAATATATAATGGACTAAAACATATAAAATATGTCTAAATGTATGAGTTCATGAAGTTAATAATAAAACTAATTGGTCACTGTCGGAGGGTGCTGGGAATCAACTCATTACCATGAAAGCTGGTAAATAAAGAGAAATAGTCAATTTATCCTGCCCTTCCTATAACCCAATAGTTGATGACAGAGAGCTTCTCTTCAATAAAGAAATGGTACAACAATTAAAACATCACTTTTCAACCAGTAAAAAAAAAAAAAAAATAAGCCAACAGTGATCATTAATGGTTGCTATCAAATAAAAAAAAAAAAACAACAAAAAAAACAGATATTATGTGCTCCTGATGGAAGTATATACTACCACCATGAGGTATCTTGCCCTCCCTTCCCCCAAATCAAACCTGAATCCACATACCAACAGAGACAAAAAACAGGAGGTAGTATATTTAAATAACAGAGAAACAGGGGAAACTCTATAGGAGAAATAACTATATTTCTACAACAAATAAATTGATGTTGATGTAAACATCAGTGATGACAACGTATACAGAGCTTATTTGAATCTTATTCAAAGAAATCATTTGTTTCTAAAAAAGCATCTATGGCAAAAACTGGGAACTCTGAACATTAATTGGACCTCTACTGACATTAAAGAATTCGCTGTTAATTTTTTTTTTAGGTGTGATAATGGTTCAGTGGCTAAAAGTTTTTAAAATTCTTATCATTAAATGATATATACTGAAATAATCACAGTGAAATGACATGTCTGCAATTTGTTTCAAAATAATCCAGACCAAGAGAGAATGGGTATAGAAGAAACAAAATTGGCTATAATTTGGTTGATGTTGAAGCTGAATGATAAATATATGGGAGTTCACTGTAATATCCTATTTTTATTATATATACTTGAAATTTTTCTTTATAAAAAGAAAAAATAGTTATTAATAATAAAATACTCACCTGCCTCGACTGCCAGTACTAGAGGTACTAGGGGGTCTCACAGGTGTGTGAGAATTAGATAAACCTAAAAAGTAATTAAGTCAAAATGAATATCGATGCACATAAGAATATTTGAAATTTTATCTACTAGTTACAGAACTCAAGATCATTATAACCCAACTTAGACATTTTTGGATATCAGACATAGTAGCAAAGTCAGGGATGGCATGCATAAGCACTTGCAGACATCAACCAGCTTCTCTCAGCTGAGCCCAGACATGACTCAGACTCCTCCTCAGAGTAATACTATTCAACCAACAAAAACTACCAGATTAAGAAAAAGCTATCTGCCATCCTTCCCCAAGTCATCTGATAAAATAGTCTACTTAGATTCCAATTAATTATTCTTTTTAGAAGTCATGGAGTAATTATTAAACCTCAAAAATTATATGTTAATACTGTATCTCTTGCAAAAAATCTCATGCAAAATCCACATTTAAAATCTCATGTTCTTCATCTAGAAATAATTAGGCGTAGGAATCAGTAGGAAGAAAGAACATTTAATTCGCGTCAGAAAAATATATTCTGTAACCACTCCTGGACTGTTAACCTGTTTGGAGTTGATTCAATTATGTATTCATGAGAGTCCCAAATGAATCACCTGGTAATAGGGTCAATAAAATAACTGAGATTATGAAAGAGAGCTATACCTCATGGATATTTAAATAGTTTCCAGTAAATTTAAGTTTTTATTTTAAAATTACAATTAAAAAATTCACTTGCCTTTCCTCAACTCTTGTTTTTTAACAATTTTTCGATTTTCTTTATTTTACAAAGTGTTTTAAAGTTGGGTTGAAACTCTTCAACTGACCATCTGTATGTACAATGTCAGACATAGAAAACATATACATCTACAAACTCAGCAAAGAATGTGAATACAATGAGGACTGGGTACTTTAGAGTTCTGAACAGTGTAGACTATAAACATATATTAATATTATTTCAGTTAGTTAAAGACTGCCAATAGAAATTGAACAAAAATCAGGGGAAAAGTATCTGTTACTGTGATAGTTAATTTTATGTATCAACTCAGCTAGGATATGGTAACCAGTTCTTTAGCCAAACATCAGTCTAAATGTTGCTGTGAAGATATTTTTTAGATGCGATTAACATTTAAATCAGTAGACTTTGAGAAAAGCAATTACCCTCCATAATATACGTGGGCCTCATCCAATCAGCTGAAGTCCTCAAGAGAGAAGACAAAAGTACCCCACACCTCCCCGAGGAAAAAGAAATTTTTTGCCTATAGACTCAAGATTCTTCCCTGGGTTTCCAGCCTGCCGACCTGACCTGCAGATTACAGACTTGACAGTACCCACTATCACATAAGCCAATTCCTTAAAATAAATCTCACTCAGTCTCTTACTCTACCTCCTACTGATTCTGTTTCAATGGAGAACCTGACTAATACAGATACTGAGAGACACTTTTTTTAAAGGTGTTAAAGAAATGAGACAATATTCCTGTTTGTTTTACCTGATGATCCCGGAGATAGGGCAGAGGGTCCTGGGGAAGGATTCATGGTGCTTGTAGGCTGTGGGGGTAAGTGACTGCCTGAGATGTATCTACTTAGTAGATTATCTAAACTACTTGAGCCAGCATCTTCCAACTGAAGAGAAAAAAGATAAATATAAATTTGCTTTGATTAAAGCAGAGGAGAAATTATTAATTTCATTAGTGTTATAACTTATACTCAGTTTACTAATAAACAATATAGTATCTAATTCAGCTTAACTGTTGCTTCTTTAGGCTCCCCTGAGAACCCACGTAGTATAAAGTTTATGTAAATAAAAATATATAATTAATATTATTCAAAAAATATCCAGCTGCTCAAGACAAAACCTAATGATCCACTAAATACTATGTGTTCAATTATGAAAATAACTTTGACACACTAACACTTTTGCTCTTTCTCAAAATTGCCGTAGGACCCTATTTATCAGTATCCTTGTCTCCAGTCTCCTTGCCTCTATTTCAATATCCAGAATCCTGACAGAATGATTCACCTGAATAGAACTGTAATCATGTCAGTACCCAGCTTTAAAGCTCTGACTTCTTATAGACACAGAGAGCCCTTAGCCTGACATATGAGGCCCATTATTAGACACACAAAAAAGGGATAGTCAGCAAGAGATCTGAGCCCTTTCCTTATTTAGGGGCAGTTAGATAAAGCTAGAAGACCTGGCACTGTCATTTTAGGCTGATTCCCAACCTGAACGTCAATTTCCTATCTTTAGATCATCCCACCTACACTGCAGAACTCTGATGATTAATTAAGAAAATATTTATGTGAGATAGATTTAAAAGATACTATTTAAGTATGAAAATTACCTTATATTAAATTTTTCACTATTCCATATAAGAGCTGGTCAAGTTGTTCCTTCTTAAATAGCTGTTAATCTTCCTCCTTATACCCACACTTGACCGCTTTCAATTTTCTCCCCCACTAACAGCCAGATTCTTATGCAAATCTCTTTCTGGTTAAAGACAGAAAACTGAGCACACGTGTTTACTTCTTGCTCTCCTTTTTTCCTAAAAGTGCACTGATTTTTCACAGCTACAGAACAGAAAGGATGGCATTAAAGTAGAAACTTTGGAGGAAACTACAGATATAAACAAAGGTGGAATTGGATCGATAGAAAAATGATCAGAATGAAGCAGCTCACAACATATCACAGGCAAAGAAGGATCCTCCTAAAAAGTAAACAGGACAATTTTCCCAAAGCCCTTTAAAAATGCTATGCAGGAGACATGAAGGGCTGAAGGTGACAGTAGGTCATGGGTTAGTTGGAGGAACAATTAAAGGACAATAGTATTTGTTACCCTCTGGAGACAGCTATTGGCCAACAATTTACTTATAAGCTATAACTACAAGAGAAGCCCTAGCTGCAACTCAACTGAAGGGCTTGTGAAGAGGGGGGCTTCTAATGTGGGCCACAGATGGAAGTGGGGCTGCATCCAACCTAAAAACAAAGAAGGGGAAATGATTCAAAGCAGACATGAAAATCCCATGTTTCCTACCTCTGCTCCCACTCCTTTTATACTTTCCACCTGCAATTTGTATCTCTGGTGAGACAAACAATTCTAAGGCTAGAAGAGTGGACAGGTCAGGAAGAGGAAAACAGGAAGAATGATGCCATTATATCCTCCCACAAGGAAATGCTACCTGAAGTATTCACCTCCAGATTTCACTAGACACAGACAAAAAGTCATCATAAAGAAAGTTAAAAGTCTAACTGGAGAAACATTAATACGTTTATTCATTTAAACCAATGTTTTTCGAGAGTCTCTGAATAACTGCATAAGTGTTATAAATAATTAATATAATTTAAATGGAAGAAGACAATCCAATAGAAAAATGAGCAAAGATATTTCACAGAAGACAAAGACAATTCACAGAAGAAATAAAAATAATACATGAACATAAGATAACCAACCACACTAATAAAAATGTTGGTGACTTCAAGAGATGATAGCCTTCTCCTCTTTCTAGTTTTAGTTCATGTGGTTGTTTCTTATTGTGTTTGTGCTTTTGTGGTAACCACCTCTAATTGCTTTTAAAAGTAAGTGACAGCCACAAGTCTCAGCAAAAATGTGGAGAAACTAAAACCCTCATACACTGTTGGTGGGAATGTAAAATAGTGCAACCACTGCGGACCACAGTTTGGCAAAAAGTTAAACACTCGATATGACCCTGAAGTTCCACTCTAAGATATTTACCTCAGAGAACTGATAACCTATGGTCACATAAAAATTTAAACACAAAAGCTCATAGAAACATTATTCATAACAGCCCAAAAGCGGAAACTCAAATTTCATCAACTGAAGAATGGAAAAAATGTGGTATACCCACCCACACAATGGAATATTATTCAGCCATTGAAAAAGGAATTAAATACTGATACATGTTACAACATGGATAGGCTTGGAAAACGTTATGCTAAGTGAAAGAAGCCAAACATCATATAATTCCATTCATACGAAATGTCCAGAAAAGGCAAATCCATAGAGACAGAAAGTAGATTAATGATTTCCAGGAGCTGGGAGAGAAGGAAATAGAGAATGACTGCTATGGGTACAGTTTCTTTTGCAGTGACGAAAATATTCTGATGGTTACACAATCTTGTGAATGTACTAAAAACCAATGAATTGTACATTTTTGGAGTGCATTTCATAGTATACAAATTGTATCTCAATAAAAACAAGTAGATGATACTTTAACAAATTAGTAAATAAAAATAAGGTAGGGCAACAGATCTGCAATTAAATGCAAGAGAAAGTTTGTAGGAGAAGGCATGGATTCTCCCACACCACTTTAAAAAATTAAAAATGGGAGGGGACACATGCTGAAGTTTCTTGTCTTGATCTCAAAGTTTTTCTGGGCAGGATGACAGGAGAAGTCTAATACGGGCTCACTTCCTTTATGATAATTAGCTTTTCAAAGATATGGAGCATCTACACTTCCTCTACCTGGTCTCTGTAAGAAAGAACCGAACCAAATTAGAGTAGCCCTAGCAAATGAGCTTAAGTTAGCAACCATCCTTCTCCCTTTGTAAGTTTCTTAAGCACTAGAACCAAGTCTTCATCTTATCCTCAATGCTGTAATGCTGTGCACACCTCTGGTTGCACAAAGGTTCTCAATATCACACTTTCCAGGCCTATAATCCCAAACTACCTCACTGATGTTGCTATGAATAGTGGAAAGACAACTGGACTTGCTTAGGAGTCTGGGCTTTAAATTCTAACTTTTCAATTTATTGTGTGACTCTGGTAAAGTCTCTAACCTCTCTTATTCTCATCTATAAAATAGAGATATTACATAACATATCAAGTGATTTCAAGGATTAAACTGAAATACTGCCTGTAAAACCATTATGTAAATGATAAACTTTTAATTTAGAAATTATACTTTTTAATTTATATTCTAAAATTTTTCATTCTCTATATATAATCTGGTACAAAACTACCATTCCCTTAGCCAAAAAAGATCTCTCCTAATATGAAGCAGGCAATCAGATTAAGAAATTCAATGAGCAACTGATTTTCAAACAATTTTGAAGTTGTAAGAACATCCTTTAAAACTCTTACATAAACCCTTTAAATACATAAAAATATTACACTGCAGTCATAGAAAGAGTCAAGGGTATTTCAGTCTCAGCAGTTTGACTGCTCCTTGCTCCCATGGTGACTCATGACTCCAAGTAACTCATACAATGCATGAGATGATTCAATATAATCCTTGCAGGTTCTACTTACATTTTAAAAGAAAGTACTTTTAAAAATAAATTAGTGAAATTTCAAAAGGCACTGAAAGATACTTTTCTGCAGGAAAATGTCACAGTTTAAAGTGAAGAGAGACCTCAGAGGCCCTTCATGTTCCATCCCTTCCTCCTCACCATTATTTTCCCTCTCAGTATATGCCCCAAAGTGTGTGATATCTAGACCTTCCAACCCCACCCTTTCTCAGCCAAACCTGTTTGCATGAGAGGTTGAGTATCCCTTTTGGATCTAACAGAAGAATAACAAAGATCTGACCACATTTTGGTCATGGGTTTTCTCTCTGGCTCTTAAGTCACATGGGAGTGCACCATCTGACACAAAGTTTGTCTGTTAAGAGGTGGTAGAAAGGGAGGAACCAGCCTATTAACAAAGCTGAAATTAATCCATTATTGTACCTCTGTTTAGTAAGTCTCATAATTTACTACTCATGCAACATTCAATTTCCTAGAACTTTAAAATATTAAGGAATGCTAGTTTTAGCACAAGAACTTTTCAAAATTTAGGTATTTATATTTTACTTTTTTTGTTTAACTGACAAATAATAATTGTGCATATTTATGGGGTACAATGTGATGTTTTGATCTATGTACACAGAGAAAGATTAAATGAAACTAATTAACATATCCATTACCCCACCAACCCATCATTTTTTGGTGATAAGTGTTAGAAATCCATTTTAGTAACTTTGAAATATATAATACACTACCAACTGTGGTCACCATGCAGTGCAACAGATCATTAAAACTTATATCCAAGGAATTTAAATTGGTATGTCAAACAAATATCTGCACTCTCACGTTCACTTCAGCTAAGATATGAAAACAACCTAAGTGTACATCAACAGATAAATGAAAAACGAAAATGTTGTATATATACACATGATGGAATACTCTACATCCTTTAAAAAGAAATTCTGTCATCTGCAACAACATGGATGGAACTGGAAGACATTATGGTAAATGATATAAGCCAGGCACAGAAAGACTAATACTATACGATCTCATTTATACATGGAATCTAAAAAAAATAGATCTCACAGAAACAGAGAGTAGAAAGGTGGTTACCAAAGGCTAGGCAGAGGAGGGCTGGGGAAAAAAGAGATACTGATCAACGGGTACAAAGTTTTGGTTGGACTGGAAGAATAAGTTTTAGTGATCCATACTTTACTCTTTAGAAATTTCAAAAAATGTTAATTGTGAATTAAAACAAAACAACAAAACCAGAAATATATACTCATCCTAATTAACATAAGGTTTTAAATGCCTCATTTAACTTAAATACAAACCTGTATGGGTGGAATATCTGGCAGTGATGGAAGGTTTTCTGGATTGGTAACTGAGGGGATTAGCTCTATTGCTGTAACAGATGGGCTGGTGGGACCTCGGTTTGCATTTGCCATAGTTGCTGTAGTAGGGCTCGTTGGGTTGATTGTGGTGTTGTGTACTGATACTACAGGAAAGGGTCCAGCATGCCCTGGGTTTGAGTGCTGTTAAGAAAGAAGACATTATTTATCTGCCAGGATATCTGAACATGAACTATATTTCTACAATAATTTTCAGTTTAGGAAGGATACATAAGTGTTTGATATATGTGGCCAAGAAACAAAGAAGTGGACCTTTCTCAAACTTACATAGGAGAAGAATATTTCAAACTTAGCCTTTTCATTTTTCTATTCATTTTTGTGTAGTATCCAGGGAAAAACAGACTTGCCAATAATTTTTCAACCTGTCAGCCTGGTGATATGACCTTATTTCAGAACAGAAGTCTATATAATTGATAATCTGGAAGCATCCACATTTTCAAACAGCAGGCAAGGAAAGCCACTGTTCCGTCTATATTACTCTTTGACCCTTTAGTCTTTTTTCGAATAAAAATAGTTGTATAATGCAGCCTGATGTGACAGAAAGAACAATGAATTGACAAAAAAGAAATATGACATAAATTCCCAACTGTAATACGGTGTGAACTTAGGAAAATCACATAATATTGGTAACTTTGAAATGTGGATAATGATACCTAAACTGTTTCATTGTAAGGGCTGTTATGAGGGTCACTTAAAATAATACAGATGAAAATTTTTGAGAAATAAATTACTGCACACATATAAATAAATCATTTGAAATACTTAAAAACAAAAAATGCTAAGATCAAGTGATTTCTGTAGGGGTGCCCTAAAGCCTAAGGAAAATGCTCTGAGATGGTTGGTTAGACTGATTCTGTGGCTTATGCATTCTTTGAAATGTTGTACCTGGTTGCTAGTAATACTTGAAGGCTTTGCATGAACTAAGGAGTACACGGGTATATGAACAGCTTTAAGGAAATTAACGTCCATATTCTCAACCTTCATATGTACTCCTTTCTCAAAAAACCCAATTTGCCTAACAATGCATCATGCTCTGCAGGGTTTCCTCTTCCACCACTTCTCCTGTAACTGCTCTTCTCCCACTTGATGAAAGAACAGCATACCTCTGACCCACTGCTAATCTTGTTCTAGGCACAATGCCCAAGGATGGGGGCAGGAAACTGTAGAGATAGTCAAAGATACAATTGGAAATAGTTGTGTTGGGATTTGAGACATAACTGGCTCCAAAATGTAGGCAAAAAATATTCAAATGGGTTCTAATATTTGATGTTCAACAAAAATAAAGCCCTTATGATGCTGTCACTGATAAAAGAGTTTTTAAGCAGTTTTGATGGACCATTGTGAATCTCAGCTCATAATCCAGAAAAAGTTCAAAGAATTGAGGAATACTGCTATAATAAAATTCTTTTAATTCCCTAACACATATTTTTGTGAACAAGTTTCCTGAGCATCACATAAAAACAAAACCGAAAAGCTACTAATAAAAATCAACACTGAATTCTAACTCACTCTAACAATAAATAACAGCATACAAACATACATAACTGAAAAGGAGTGGATAAATAGGCTCTGTCTATCTCAACAAAATGTATATACAAAAGAACTTTATGTTTTCTAATATTCTTAAGCCATGTAAAGATATATATTTTGTTTCAACAATTATGTAGGAATAATGTAATAATTCATTCCACAGAAAAGTTTTAAAGCTTAATAATAGCCTTACTGTCACTGGAAATTTAACAAAATTTCTTTTATTAAAATAAGCACTTTTCCTGCAGAAAGTTATAATAGGCTGTCAAGTATAAATATATTTATTTAAACTTCTGTAGAGTAATTAGAAGGGAAATTCAAGTCCAAGGAGAAAAGAGTATAAAATTTAGATATTCAAAAGAACTTGATATGGTATTTGGGATTCCAGTGGATTCATTTCAAAGAATGATGTAAATGTTTTACATTATACTGTCAATATTTACAATACACTAAAAACTGTCTTTTGCAACTATTTAAACAAACTTAAAATGAAAATTTTAAATAAAAAACTTCAATTTGAGGGAGTGCACATTTTTCAAAACTCTTCCCAGGGGTACTTTGGGCCAAAAAGCTTAAGGACCACTGCTCTAGGACCACAGTTGTTTCTCCAACTTTAGTATGCAGAATGACCTGACAGACTAAGTAAAAATTTACATGTTATTGACTATTCCCCTCCTGAAAATTCTGATTTAGTGGTTATGGCTCAATCTATTCTGAGCAAGGTCCCCCTTGCTCATCCCAAGCTGACTAGCGATTCTGATGATCATTAAAGTATTTTTTTAGAAACAAAACCTTAAGGATTAAATATTGAACTCTATTATCTCATAAATAGCAATCCTGGCTGGCCAGTTAGCTCAGTTGGTTAGAGCTTGGCCTAACACCAAGGTTAAGGGTTCGGTTCCCCATGCCAGCCGGCCAACAAATAAATAAATTAATAAATAAATAGAAATCCTATGTAAAAGTAGCCTCACTATATAACCATACCTCCTATGCAAATGCAATCTACTATTCAGGAAAAGATTATGAAACATGCCTCTAAATATACTTATTTTTAAGATTAAGCATGTCTACATCATAAAAGGATCAACAGTTGAGTAAAGAACAGCAAAAGAAAAAAGACATATACATACATATAAATATATATATATATAGCTAGCTCTATTACTTTCAGGGTCCTTTTCATATATTAGGATCAAAAAGTTGCATTAGAAGAACAGAGAAACAGGCTGGCTGGTTAGTTCACATGGTTACAGGGTTGCCTTGTAACACCAAGGTCAAGGGTTCAGATCCCCATACCAGCCAGCCATCAAAAAAAAAAAAGAACAGAAAAACAATTTCAGGAACCTCATCTTGATTTTATCATTATCTCTTGTGACTGTGGGTAAACCAAAAGCTCCTTACATTTATTTTGCCCTTCTGTAAATTAAATGGGTTGGACTATATCAGAGGTTCTTAACCCCATAGTATATGCTGGGTTTAAAGGGATCAAAGCAGCTCTTAAAATTGAATACAAAATTTCATGTGCGTGTGTGTTTTTCTGGAACAAGAAGATATACAGCATTAATCAATTCTCGGACATATCAATAATGATAATAATATCCCCCCCAACTGACTAAGTAAAACGGTGTCTTTTAGTTTTAAAATCGTATGATTCTTACAAATGTAACTCTAGGCATACTTGTCTTTGGAGGTGTGGCTGCATCATGGAATATTGAGGGCCGCTGTGCCGGGGTATCCCTGGTATTCTGGCAGCATTCTGAGCCAGTCTCATTTGATGGGCTTGAAAAGCTCCACAGTTCATGTTGCTTCTTTGCATTGTTTGCACACTGATCAATCTTGGAGGCTATAAAAAGTAGAAATTGCAATTTATGTAATAATATTTTTAAAAATAAATTTATCTTTCAATTATAAAATGTTATGGTAAAAATAATTTAGTCAGGATAAAGGGTACAAAGTAAAAAGTGTAAGTCATTCTTCTCATCTCTAGCCCCAATCCCCAGAGGATTGGTAATTACCAGGAGTTTGTGTATATCATTCCCAAATTTCTCGTGTATGTGTGTGTGTGTGTGTAAAGCACATCAACATTAATTTGACTGGGATGGGGGGACAGAGCAGGAGAGACACAGGGATGGGAATGATTTGAACAAATGTCTACAGAACACATCAGATCTTAGGCAGAAACAATCTGGTTCTTTGGCCTACAACCATATGTGGAAAACAGAAAAGATCTGGTGTGGAAAGATAGGAATTTATGTACTTCTAGAGTACTGTTGAGTTAATTTTGTTTCCCATGATAAGATATTTATTTATTGCCTTTCTTCACAGCGCCATGACATCCCTGCCCAAACCAGAACAAACATTTGAACTCTGACTTTTTTTTATTTCCTGACCAGTATGGGGATCACAACCCTCGGCATGGTGTTGTCTGCACCACGCTCAGCCAGTGAGTGCACCAGCCATCCCTATATAGGATCCGAACCTGTAGCCCTGGCGCTACCAGCACCGCACTCTCCCAAGTGAGCCACGGGGCCGACCCTGAACTCTGACATTTGAGTCTGATTTTGTTAGTAACTTTGAAATGTGTAACTCACCTATATAGGATGAAGTGTAGTCTTGAGGTCTTCATAATCTGTATCAATAATGTAGTGATACAATACTCACCTGTTGTTGTAACATCTGAGGGGCTGCTTGTCTAGTATGTTGTTGTGTTGTTGCTGTTGTAGTTGGTACAGGTGCCGGTGGTTGCTGCATCCTCATCTGTTGCAACTGCTGATGTTTCTGTGCATACACTTGTTGTTGCATGTGCTGGAGTCGAAGCTGTGCTAAATTTATCTGTCCAGGGGTTTTACTAATGTGGTTTGTCCCTGGAGGAACTTGTCCAACTACAACATTAGGAGTATAACCAGGAGCTGGTTTACTTTCTATTACTAGATTACCTGAAGGATTTAAAAAATGAGAAGAATTTGCATGTAATCAACTACTTTGCAGATTAACCACTATCTTTCCTCCTTCTTCTGACAACTATCAGCACCTCAAAGCTGCCAATAGTACAGCAGGTTGAGAGCTAGGTTTAAAGATGATGATCAAAAACCTAATATATATCCAGGCTGAATAAATAATTTTTGATTATTCCAAATCAGAATGTTAAAAATCATTCCTAGTTACCATGCCACACAAAAACAGTTTGCTGATGGTGTATGTAACGCTATAGCCAAATTTGAATTTTTTTTTTTTTAACACGAGGCCATCCAACCACTGCCTTTACAACTCCCAATGTTTAGGACTTGATTATTTTGAAAGTGAGTTTACTCAATCTGTATACAGCTCTAATTATTGGAAAGTTTTTTGTGGTGTTTTTTTAATTGAGCTGTTTGTCTATCTCTCCATAACCTTCACCTATGGTCTTTAGGTCCACACCGTGGAGTAACAAAAGCAAGGTCCATTTCTCTTCCATATGAAAAGAGCTACTCTTATCTTTCAAACATTCCTAAGGACATGATCGTGGGATATATCAGCATCTTGGAGGTCGTCCTCTAGTGCACAATTTGGCATAATTAAACTACTAAGCACCTAAGAAATTCTTCCAGAGAATGAGGAACCATTTGCTAAGATTTCTATATGAAATAGTCAATATCAATGTTAAAAGATTTGGGGGGGAGGGGGAGAGTTAGAAATGGTGTAAATTAATAAACGCTATACAGAGTAGACTCTCAACATTCTTAAGATATAATGATGCAGCAATACAAATCATAGCTAAAATGAGTTTCCAATGAATAACATATTTTCCAAGTAGTTTACAATTTAAAGTTAAAAACTTAATCTAAAATTTTGCTTTAGATGTTTTCTCCTCCTAATTTGGTGTTCCAAGTTATATTCATGAAACTAATTATTTCTCACCTAAATTCACTACATTCTTTGCCCAGAAGGTGGGATCACAATGGAAACGTATCGCTCCATTAGCAGCAGGGACAGGATCACACCGTGCTTTCAAAATATGACGCAACTGAAAAGTAATCTTAAAGGGAAAAAATTCACATTAGTCTTAAAATTAAGTACAAATTGAGAAAACATAGAAGACAAAGACATTAAAAAGTTCATATAGTCCCACAGTGTCAGTGTCTGATGAGACAGTGTCAGTGGTTAAACTACCAATCAAATCAAATGAACATGATTCAATTTCTGCCACTCCTGGTAATATTTTATATCAAGATACTAGGTATCATCAAAAGAACACACTGTATGATTCCAGTTGTACAAAATTCTAGAAAATCATAGAAATCAGATTAGTGGTTGCCTAAAGCTAGGGGTAATGGAGGAACAAGGAAACTTTTGCGGATGATGGAAATTTTCTGTATCTTGTTGATGGGTGGTGGCTACATTTGCCAAAATTCAAATTTACTCTTTAAACAAGTACCATTCACTGAATGTAAATAATATCTTTAAAAAGTCAATTAAAGATAGTATATGTCTCACCAGTCGCTTGCTGTACAGTAGTGCTGTGCTGCTGCCGCTTGCAATTGCCCAGTTTGTAAAGTTCATAACATGCTTCACCTGCCGGGAAAGGCCTGTGATGTCATTCTGCTGCTGTAGTAATTTCATCTGTCTTTCTTTTGTAACATTCTAAAACAGAATAAGAGCTTCACTGAAAAATTCTATATGAAAAAAATCAATGCCTAATTTCTATCTCAAATGAATACAATACCTATATTTCCTTTAACAATGGGATAAGTGGACAAGCTCATGATTATTTAATGAGCCCTATGATCAATTAAAGGAAAAGTTACTGACAAAACTGGGACTAAAATTTAGTTCTCTAAGCTAAGAAGCAATTAATTAATGTTGGATGATGTTTCTTATAGCACACAGAATGTCTGTTAAAAAGTGTCTTTCTCCCCATACCGACCAACTGCAAAAAAAAAAAAAAAAGTGTATTCCTATTAGGTTAATCCAATATACAGGGTTTATAGCATAATGAGTTGATCTTTAGAAATAATTTTATATAATCTTAACACTTTTCTGGCCAAAGAAAATTTTGTGTCATCAGTGCCACCTAGTGGTACGGCATGAGGCTGAAGTTAAAATCCTCTTAAATACCTAAAACAAAATGAAAAAGATAAATTCCAGAGATCTAAAAGTAGAAGTAGGGAAACTTTTGATATGACAAAAGTTCATAAAGAACAAAGGAGTAAGTGAAGGTTAACCAAACAGGAAAAAAAAAATTTCAAGGAAATGCTGCAAAGGAAAAATAAACTGCTTTATGGGAACTAAAACTCCCAGAAAGGATGGGTAATCTCTTATGTACCTTGACATTCCACATACCAAACAACCTATCTACTACTTCTTTCTTAAACATTTTCTCCCCAAAATGACTCAAATTGGTTTAGTGTACAATATTTTTCCTAAGGAAACAAGTTGTTCATTTTATAATGTAAATCAATGATTAAAAGTATCCAACTAATAGAAGTTTTGGTTCACAACTCCATTAGAATTCATCCCTTTTATAAAGCTTAGGAAAACCTCTCTTTTACAAGGTATAAGATCCTACACTAGAAAACATCTATTTTTTTTTTTTTCTTTTTGTCTTTTTTCGTGACCGGTAACGGGATCGCAACCCTCGGTGTCACGCCCGTACCGCGCTCAACCAGTGAGCGGACCTGTCTCTATATGGGATCCAAACCCTCGGCGGGAGCGCCGCTGCACTCCCAAGCGCCGCACTCTACCGAGTGCACCACCGGGCCAGCCCAGAAAACATCTATTTTTAAAATTATCATCATGTTAGGAGTATGTGGTAGATCCATCATTAGGTATTCACATATACTTTAGCCTTAAGAGGCATCTCTTAATTAAGAAACTCTTGCAACGGTTTTACAAATATTATTTTAGACATATATCTAAAATATATTTATAATAAGTTCAAATGTATCTAAAGTAGTTACTGCTAATGCTTTCCATTCTCATGGTCCTCTTGGGGGGAAAAATGTATTAGGGTTAACAAAACTGACTGAAGGTATAATAGGAAAGAGACTTCCAACCTCAATGATGTAAGAGAGTACTTTTAATCCCAGAATTATGTTTCAATGGAAAGATATTATTTCAAAAGACAGAAATTCAGAGATAACATTCTGTTGACATAATTTCTTTCATTTGTATGTGTGAAATACATAATATTTATAAAAGTGCCTAATATTTTTTTTTTTTTGTCCTTTTTGAGACTGGCCGCACCGTGCTCAGCCAGTGAGCGCACCGGTCATCCCTATATAGGATCCGAACCCGCAGCAGGAGTGCTGCTGCACTCCCAGCGCCACACTCTCCTGAGTGCGCCATGGGCTCGGCCCTAAAAGTGCCTAATATTTTTTTTTTTTTGTCCTTTTTGAGACTGGCCGCACCGTGCTCAGCCAGTGAGCGCACCGGTCATCCCTATATAGGATCCGAACCCGCAGCAGGAGTGCTGCTGCACTCCCAGCGCCACACTCTCCTGAGTGCGCCATGGGCTCGGCCCTAAAAGTGCCTAATATTTTTAAAGGGTTCTACGGAAAAATGGAAAAGAAAAAACCTACTACGTCCAATTTGAGGTTAATGGAAGTTAAATAGTCAAATACTCATACAGTTTAAATGATTACTATTGAAGGGTGCAGAGAATATAAACCCTATGGTCTGAGCCTACTTAAAAGCACAAAATTTTCAAACAGAAAGCATTTCTTTTTTTAAAAATTCAACTGCTCAGAATATTCACATTTGAAATTTGCTGAGAACAAATCAACTATAGGCAGTAGACATGAGTGTCTGTTTAAAAATTAATTTGGATTTCATGAACTAACTAGATTTTCATTCAGAAACTTAAATGTATGTATCAATATCAAAATATGCAACACAAAGACCTCATATCACAAAATTATCAAGAAGTTTAAGATTTATAAATTTCAAAACAAGCAACATTTTCAGCCAAACTATGGAAATATTTTAAAAATAAGGTAAAACACATAAATGACTCAAACAGAGGCCCAACATGCATTTACAAGGAAAAGTTAAACTGAGGCCCCATGTTAGGGGGGAAAAAAGAAATGTGCTCGGTCTTTGTCTTCATTTATATCACATTTTCACATTAATTCTTTCATTCCTAAGAGGACATCACTATCTTCAAATGCATACAGCCTAATTTGTATTTTTAAATAGGGTTGCAAAGTAACTAACTAGAAAAAGGTATTTTTTCCAATAGAAGATGAAAAAAAACCCCTCATGTTTTATTTTACTTTATTTCCATACCCCCCAACCCATCTAAAAGAGCTTTCAATAAACATTAAAAACAGCTGAAGAGCAAGAGAAGCAGTTTTTGTTTTATTTTGGCTTTGAACCATACCTCTAGCTGCTGTAAGAGAGATTTTCCTTTCTTATTAATTTCATTGATAAGGGTGAAAATGGCCACTTTAATTTCCTGTTCTACTCGTTTGTTAGTCTCATTTACTTCTTTTATCCTGAATAAGAGAAATGCATCATTAGGTTATCAACTTATCCTATGTCTCTGAATCATCAATTGTTACAGAAATTCATCCAACTGGGCACTTAACAGAGTAATTATAATTAAAACTTTGTCAAAATGTACGACTTGGTTTCAGCAGACCTCACCACTCAATTTGGCCCAAACAAGTTATGTATACAGATAAAGAATAAATCTGATATTTAGTAATTCTAAATTAAGCTCATAAAGGCCAGTTTATTAGGCTGGATGGCCATCTCCTTAAGTCAGTATGACATGAATGTCATATACAAACATCTGACACCAATAATTGCCAGTTGGCGTCAAATCTGGCACATTGGTCTGTTGAACCTTAATGCTTTCCAAGAACAATGTGTAGAAAAACAAATTTGCAATCAATAATTATTATCTTTTGAAAGATTAGGAGTTAAACTTGGAAACATTTATTTTCACTTATAACTTTACTTCAAAATGTGGGTTCTGATACTTCCATAATTCCCCCTCAAAATGGTTTCCTACTATATATGGTAAAGGGCAAAAAACATTTTCAGTCTTTTTTTTTTTTTTTTTTCCTTTTTGTGTTTTTTCCTGACCGGTAACGGGATCGCAACCCTCGGTGTTGCACCCGCACCGCGCTCAGCCAGTGAGCGGACCGGTCTCTATATGGGATCCGAACCCTCAGTGGGAGTGCCGCCACACTCCCAAGCGCCACACTCAACCGAGTGCGCCACCGGGCCAGCCCTTTCAGTCTATTTTTAAGAATGGCTGTTAGACGTGTTAGAAATAGGTATACCCACCCAGTGGTTATGAAAGTTTTGGTTGCAAATATAAAGTGGCTGATACCTTGGTATTTACAAAATAGGAAGTGGGGAATCTCACCAATACAAATGCATAAAATATCAACAACCAACCACAAGAGGTAGCCTTCAATTTTTATACATTCTACTTCTATACAAATTATAATCCATACTTTCAGCCCCTAAACTGCCTCTCATTTGCCAAATTCAAATTTGAGTAACTTTAATACACTCTAAGCAATAATCTACTTTTTCCTCCTTTGTCTGTACATCACTGCTTGTTGTCCACTTATTTGAAAATTTTATTGAAATCTGTCCTTATCTTATTAAAGTGAGTGGAAGACATTTTTAAAAAATAAAGTAACTGGCTGGTTGGTTAGCTCAGGTGATTAGAGCACAGTGTTATAACACCAAAGTCAAGGGTTCAGATTCCCCTACCCACCAGCCAGCCACAAAAATGAAAAAAACAAAAAAAAATTAAATAAAGGTACTAATTATTAGCATTAAGAAATATAGGTCTCAAACATAAAATGATTGAGCCAAAGACAGAAATCATTAAGCTTGGTGAGAGCTGAGAAGAGTTACCCTTACTCAGACTCACATTAAACTTAAGGAGGCCTACTGTTTGTTCGATTGTGAAGGAGGAAAAAAATGTACATTAAAAAATTATCAATATAGCTCATTGAAGAATGTGTCTAAAAGAGGAGGTTATCACTAGAGATTTTAATACTCTTTTTAAGCTTCCTGAAGATGAATTCCCAAACCTTGGCAATCTTCTAATAGGTAAACCTCTGGTTCTCCCTCTGTACACAGACTTAAGGACATATAAACCTCTGGCTCTACCTCTGTATACAGATTCAAGGATATATATAAAAAATATGTTCAAAAATATAATGTATATCTAAAACACATATAAAAATACGTGACTGCCATATGAATCAACTCAATGTATTTCCTCTGAAAGGGACATCCATCTATAATTTGTGAGAAGACAGTTATCCTCTCCAGTATCAACCACAACATATCAGTAGTTTAACCTAAAACATCCTGACATTTCCCAAAAATCCCAAACCATCGATGATCAGTGTGTATGTATACATATTATTATCTATAATCTCTGAGGATCTTTTTATTTTCTTTTGATATTACTTCTTAAGATGAAAAGTTCTACTACATGTAAAGTACTATTTGCATTCATTCATTCAAGTATTAAACATTTTTTGAGCATCTACTATGTGTATGTGCCATTTTAACCATCATGAATTAATGAATTTTAATATTGAAGAGAAAGTCTCAATATTTGAAAGTCTACATATTAACCCTCCTCACACCTCCAGGAATTTACAGGTTTTAATTATGCCAGCTCCAAGTGTCTGTCTTTCTAGTGTAAGAGTCCTAACCTGGTTAATCTACTCTTACAGAACTTACCCCCACTTTCCCTATCAATAAATTTAGCTTCCTTAAAAATGTACCAAAATGGAAAAACTTTTAAATAATAATGATAATGATGGCAATGATAAAAACAATAGCAGCAGCTAAAATTTCAGTGCTTACTATGTGCCAGAAGCTGTAATATGTATTCACGTTATAATGCTACTAGTAAGATAAATACTGTTTTTAATGCTTGTTTACAGATGGGGAAATAAATTTGTCCACTACTTTTAGTACTCTCTCTTCTATACTGTATCTTCCTCAGTCTCCACTTTAAATTTTTATAATTCAACTCTCTCCATATTAACTTCTTTTTCCAAGTTAAAAGCTTACACGAACTGGAGTCTATTATAAAATAGTCAATGATGTATCCTAAAAGAATATACAAACTTTTGGTCAATTAAATTTTGTTTTAATTAACAAATATTATAATTCTAAACTCAAATTATGCCATTTCCCCTTCAAAAAAAATGTTTTCTATATATGCTTAATATAACATAGTAGGAAAACAAATTTAAACTTCTCTTTAGTAATTCTTATGGTTTTAAGACAACACACTTACCTATTCTGCACCTGAGTAGCTGCAAAATGAACATAATTCTTCTTCTCAAGAAGCTTAGCCAGTAGATTCTCAATTGCGCCTTTCTGATTTTGAAAAGCTTCTTCCAAAAACTGATACCTTAAAACCAAAACAAAAACTACATTTGAAACAAAAAATTTACAATTAAGATGTTAAAAATAAGGAATAGCTACATGAATCAATCTTGAAACCACACTTAAATGATCAACTCTCTATGATAACTACTAGTACCTTACCTCAACAGCAACTTTTAACTGGCAATTCTTTTTCCCTTCTGACCCTGAGAAGCCATTACGAAAGAAAAAAATTACTCAAAAAATGTTTGAGTACCAGAGTTTTAATTCAGGATTACATTTTTTTTTTAATCCAAACAGTAGAATAAGTTATATACATTTTAAATCATAAGATAAAATGATATTATAGAAAATATTATTGAAGGAGGTGACACTGCCCATAGTCCCAACGTCACAAAATCACTACCACTGTAATATATAGGTTTCTCAGTCTTTTAAATATGCATTTTTATATATAAGTGTAATTATAATATACATGCAATTTTGCATCTGACTTTTATTCTTTGTCTTTATAATCACACTTTAAATTTTCAGTTCTAGATGCTGTATATTGTTAAACTTTCCAAAAGGGTTAAATCAATTAAAAACATCACCAACACCAGTTTTATTGTAGCTTTGTCAACATCAGCGGTGTATGTTAAAAATTCCTAATTACGACAGTGAAAATTTAGACTTGATATTAAAGTCTACTGTTCTTTGGTTACTAGGAGGCTAGAATAATAGCATTCTTTGATAGTTTTGTTTCCTTTTGTAAATTGAACATTAAGTCAACAAATATTTTTGAGTTTGTTCTACATCCTTTCCATTACGGTTCATATTCTAGTAATAAATAGCCACAAATGTGAAATGATATCACACTGTGCCACAAGCCATAATGAAGGTATGTATAATCTATAACAAAAACCCAGTGCCTAAATCAGCCTCAATTCCAAGGAAAGCCTCACAGGGAAGTCAGAATATCCTATTCTAAGCGCAGAGGCATGTTTGGGTTACTACAAATGCTTCAATATAGCCAAAGAAAAATACGCAAAGGTCAGAATGAGACAATAACTGAAAAAATCCAGAAGAAGACTGTGAAAAGCCAGGTGTACCATGTTATTTTTGCATTTTATTCTCTAAGTAATGAGAAATCCTTGAAGAATTCTAAACAGAATGTGGTAATCAGATTTACATTCTAAGAAAATCATCAGGCAGAAATATAAAAGACCTGAAAAAGAGGAAAGAAGGGGAAGACGAGCTAGAACTCTAAGACAGCAGCTCAGATGAGAAATCAAGGTACAGTACTGGTTGGTACAGCCAAACAAACAAGCTAGAACAAATGACTTTATCAGAGAGATCACCACCTTTGGTGATTTGGAAGGTTATCTGTCAGGTATGTCAAGGTCCATGGTACAACCTGAAAACTGAATGCACAGTCAAAAAAGGGTCACTAGAAATGAGGAGTTCAAGGTACTAACACAATTATAATTGCCTATGTGGACAATGAAATCGTGCAAGTAATGGCAGGAACCGAGAATAAGGAAGCAGACCATGAGCATCTAGATGTCTGTGTCTTCACTCAAGGTCTCAGCTGAGGTAGACAAGAGGAAAGGCTATGAAATTGCTAACATAAAGGCAAGTTTGTTAAGATAAAGGGAAGCTTGCTTAGTGATTAGATTCAAAAGGTAAAAGAAGAACGGATGGCAGTGGAAGGGAAAGTATAGAGCAATATGGGATCTGTGTTATAAAAAACAGCTGGCAAGAAAAGTTTTATTTTCTGCACCGATTTAAAGAAAATCCTTTATTGTGGTAAAATATACAAAATAAAATTCACCAGTTTAAGCAATTTTAAGGAGAATATTTTTAAAGCAAGAGAAATCAAGCACATTACAATTCAAATAAGATATTAATTAAACAGCACCAAAAAAAGACATTTAATTTAAAAGACTTCTAAAGTGGTTCTACCATTGGATAGGAGACTCAAAGACTGTTCCTTCATTGAGAGCAACAATTGATTTATTCCATATACCATGATTTCTCTAAGGCCAACAAAAAGTTTTACTACATTCAATCTATACAAATAAAATATAAATATGAGAATTCCATGCTAACCCTTCAGAATTATTGAGCTTTATTTACATTGTGAGGAAGAAAGAATTTTTTGAAGTAGGGCTTGATTACAGCAACAAATAGAAGGGCATTTGGTAGAAAGGTCAAGTAGTATCAAAATTCATAAAATTCTAATTCATAAAATTTAACCTTGTGCAAATTTCTCCTTTTAACCCAAAATAAATATATTTCAGAATCCTGTTTCTAAAAATATCTTGTTGCATTCATGTGAACAGGAAGCAAGCAAACAGTATTTTCATAAATAGGATATACCTAGTTGAAAATGTGTCCTTTCTTTTATATAGGAGTTGACACCTGAGCTGGATGCTAAAGGATGAATAAGAGCTCTCTAGGCAAACACACCTGGGAGAGCTTTCACTAGAAAAAAAAATCTGAACATACAAAAGCACAGCATTCTGAAACCACCTGTCATTTTCAGGGCAAAACAAAAGAACAGGGAGGTACCAGATGCTAAAGAGCCTGGTACATTTTTGCTGAAATTAGATTCAGATAATAAATATTGGTAAACCATCAAGGGATTAATTGAAAAGTGATGATCACATTTCTATCTGTTCACTTAGATAAATTTCAATTGTATGACTGGAAGAAAAACAGGAGCTTAAAAAATAAGGAAGCAATATGTAAACAGTTTTGTTTACAAGCTACCTCTGATTCTCTTAGATAATGGAATAAACTTCCACTGAATTTTCTTTTTAAACTAATCAAAATTATGGCTGAAATATTTTGGAAATGGGGAGCAAGAAAAACCAACAAGTGGATTTGAGTGTAATTTTAACTAATATGTAAATGCTTGAAAGTAATTTCTTAGATTTTAATCTTGAATCTTTAATCTATGAAGTAGTGATTCATAATGTGGGCTGCTTAGTCACAATGATTTCAGAATTTCTAAGTAAAAATTATGTATGCCTAGGATTTAGTTAAGAGAGTCTAAATAAAACTTTCTGTGCTTTAGGGTAGAACTATAGAAACTAAGTATAATAAATATGCTACCTGTTATCTGGTACTGATCAGAATCAATTGGTACGCTTATATATTTTTTCTTGTTGAGAAATAAAGTATATTTAATATAGTTTGCTATGAAGTTTTTAAAAATTACTCATAAGTAAAGGATGGGAAGTGAATAATAAGTGGGTTGTTTTTCAAAAAGTTGAGAATCATTTAGCTAATAACTTCAAACTTTTGAATGCCCATTTAGGGTCCTATTAAGTCCTGAGTTCTGTTGTTATACTCTACTGTCAAGTAAGTACAGTATTATTCTTAGTCATTGTACCTATGTATAATAATTGATGAGATTTAGTTCTGGCACTTCTAGGGAAATATATCATCTTAGTCTGTATCCAAGCTGAGTATCTAAAGAAACCTTTTTTAAAAAACTGACTCAGGTTCATATTTTTCAGTTATTGTTTTTTAAAATTACATAAAATTTCAAACACATATTGGAGGTTCAATACCACTAAACTTATTATCCACTTCCAAAAATGATTCATTTATAGCCAATTTTATCTACACACTCACTTGCTCCATACCCTAGATTATATTAAAGAAAATCCCAAATATCATATTTTATTTAAGCATTTCTCAATCTACAGATAGCAACAGCAAGCCTGTTTGAGAACCTATTATATTTTCAGGCACTGTGCTGAGTGTATTACATGGATTATCTCTTTCAACCTTTAGAAAAACATTAATGACACAGATACTATTACTATCTTCACAGTTAATAGTTGGATGGTTTAGACACCCCTTTGTTTCATCAAGTGGAATAATCATCATATTTACCTTTATAGGACTGTTATACGAATTAAATTGGTCAAAACACACAAATCGCTTAAGATACAGTAAGGGTTTAACACTTGCTATCAGTTATTCCTAGCAGTAATTTTTTTGAGAAATTTTTTAAAAGAGGCTATGTTCGTTACTTAAGTCTCACATGTAGGAGAGATGACAGTAGCCAAAAGAGTTCAGGGAAAGCAGCAGACAGTAGGAACTGTGAGCAACCACAAGGAAAACCTAAAAGGGTAGAAATTTCTAGAAAGCATAGGGAAGCTATTAGAATTCTCATATGAACAGAACAGGACCAAAAGCTAACTTTAATTAAATCTCAAAGGGCAGTGACATCCTGATACTTCAGTTACCTAAGACTTCATTAGTAGAACAGGATGTCACCTTCTATTGCTATCTTCAAAATCCCTAATCTTGGGCCGGCCCCGTGGCTCACTCGGGAGAGTGCGGTGCTGATAACACCAAGGCCCTGGGTTCAGATCCCATATAGGGATGGCCGGTTAGCTTATCGGGTGAGCAAGGTGCTGACAACACCAAGTCAAGGGTTAAGATCCCCTTACCGGTCATCTTTAAAAAAAAAAAAAATCCCTAATCTTTTCTTCTGTAATGTCTAATCTGCTGTTAATCCTAGCCAAAATGAAACACAGAAAAAAATGAAAAAAAAAAAAAAGAGAGAACAACAATATATCACAGTAATATATGTATAACTGGCATTCTCAAAAAAGAGAAAAAAGGAAAGAGAAAAAATATTGGAAGAAATTATAATTATAGACAAAAATTTTCCAAGTTTGATGAAAACTACAAATCTACATACTAAAGATGCTCAACATCCCCCAAGCACAAGAAATTTTTTAAAAACTACACTAAGGTATATCATTTCCAAACTGCTTAAAACTAGAAATAAAAAGAAAATCTTAAAAGCAGCTAGAAGAGGGGGAAAAAGATACATTACATACAGACAAACAAAGACATAACAGGAGATTTCTCAATGAAAACAATGCAAGCCAAAAAAAAGCAGAGCAACATTTTTTTTTCCTTTTTGTCTTTTTTTGTGACCGGTAACGGGATCGCAACCCTCGGTGTCGCGCCCGTACCACGACCAGCAACGGGATCGCAACCCTCGGTGTCGCGCCC